CAAGCCAGTCATGTGAGCTGTCAAATCAGGTTTCTGATACTCCCACACAGTCAAAATCATTCTCATGTATCAGCAATTCCAGTTCTTCCATGTCATTTACCAAAACTTCTGGCATTCGTGCGCATGCCTTTTAATTTTGTATGAGTGCATCTAATTTTCTGCTCGTTTGATCTGAGGTTGCAGTAGCATTTAACCAACATACACTCCTTGGCATTAGGTGCTTTAGTTGCACTACCAATGTTGCGCCTGGTAGCACTCTCTGAACTTCGCTCACTACCAGCTATAGCTTCCTCTGACCCCCCCCACAACATCATCTAGTTCAAAGGGCCCTTCAACCTCAAATGTTGTATACAGTGTAGTATTTGTTGTAAAAAGTGGTTATCAACATAAAAAAAAAAATTTAAATCTAATTTTAAAGCAAAACTGACATCTCAGCATGAGAACAGAAACAAAAAGTATGTGTATGTATGAATGTGAGTTAGGGACCTTAGATTGTATGCCCCTTGAGGGTTAGGGACTGATGTGAATGTACAATATATATGTAAAGCGCTGCATAAATTGACAGTGCTATATAAGTACCTGAAATAAAGAAAAATACAATTAAAAAAAGTACATTCAGTAAGATGGTAGCCAGTCCCGAAACTGGAAGCGTGGCATGACATCAGCATGTATAGCTCCGCAGTGACACCACTGCAGAGCTATACATGCTGACATCACACAGTCGCTTTGTGGCTCCATGTGGTGAGCATTCCTCCTAAATAGCAATGATGTGATGGATATCCGCCCCCTGGTGGTAGGGAGTGTCACAACCCAGAAGCACCAGATGAGCAGTGAAGCTGGCTTATATCCATTTATTATGTGCTATTTGTTGCTTTACCTTGCAGCTTAGGAGCTGGTGAGTGTGTAGCGGTGGTGGCTGGAGACACACGTGATATTATATGCAATACATTGGTGGAAGATAGACCACAGACACAATTTTGGAGCAAAAGAGAACATTTATTTAAGAATACAGTTTCAAATAAACTGTTACATGTTTTTTGCTTTTTCAAATAATTTCTTGTGTGATTTATTTATGGTGTATTTACACAGATGTAGGATACAGTATATGGTTTGCAAGTTTCTATATTTCTTATATGGCATCTTCCTGGCACTGCATATTTTAAGTTTTATTTACATAGTTACATAGTTAGTCTGGCTGAAAAAAGACAAATGTCCATCCAGTTCAACCATTAAAAAAAAAGTTATAATCCTATACCCACAGTTCATCCAGAGGAAGGCAAAAAAACCCAGCATGTTCCATCCTGATCCCCCGAGAGGCAATCGGATATTCCCTGGATCAACCCCACCTATAAATGTTAATAACCAGTTATATTCTGTGAATCCGAGAAAGAATCCAGGCCTTTTTTTTGAAGCAATCCACTGAGCTGGCCAAAACCAACTCTTGAGGGAGTCTATTCCACATTTTCACAGCTCTCACTGTGAGGTTATGTATACTGACCTGCTTTTCTAGCTGCCAAGGATTTTTAGTGCTGACTTGTTTCATATTGCATTACATTTTGAAAGGAGTTTGTGACGGATTCATCCACATGCCACGCCCACAACAACTAGCTAACCGAGGAGCACACGTGCGGCCGTGACTTGGGGTAAGAGGGAATAAAGGGGACATAACTATGAATATATAAAACCGTATATAAGATCAGCCGGGATATACTTCCACAGCCCGCACTACCTTTTGGCCATCACCGGAGGGAGACTCCACTCCAATCCAGCTGGCTGACCACACACTGGCAGATACAAATCTTATATATACAATCTGGTGCACTGATTAGGGTTGAGGAGCAGCTTAGCAATCACACACCCTTCTAGGGTACCTCCAGCTATCCTACAGCTAGAACCCCAGTGTTAATCACTCCTCCACTCTCCACACACCCCCACACTAGACACACACAAAAGGTAGCCTGCCCACCACCCAACAGTTTATCCACAGAACGGTCTGTTGAGACACCCCACACACACAGATCTCCATCTGGCAGATCTGTTACCTTTTACAATCTGCACGCAATCTGCCCACACACAGTGCAATTGCATACAGATTGGCAATGAGCTTGACCGAGCGTTTAAAGGCACTAAAATACAATACAATCTAATCTCTCCAATCTAATCTTTCCAAAGTTATGAGCCCGTGCTTAAATACACAGAAGTCACTAATTAATTTTAAGATTTAATATCCCAAAAGTGGGCAGTGCATAAAATATGTGCAAAATATAAAAAGTTACAGAAAATACAAGAAGACACACAAATGACTATTCACTATAAAATAAAAGGGAATAAAACAGAATAAAACTTTTACCAAGATCTATCCTGCGACTGGAGCAAGCCAGAGCATCAGCAATCCGTCAAATAGAACCGGCTCCATACGAATTACCATGTCCCAATGTCCGGGTACTCAATTTATGGAGATATGGACGTAGGCGGGACATTAGTCCTCGGCCAATTCACCTTGGGGGGTGTTCCTGTACCCACCCACAGGATGTTCTGGGTGCTGACCTGCCCAGTTCAATCAGACCAAGACCGGCTTGAATCACCAGGTCGGGGATTGGATTTCCGACACCAGCGCATCAGTCTGATCGCGATAGTAACAATCACTCTTCGACTGTCACAATCTAGCGCTGCCTAACCATTTCCTGCATTTTCATGGCCTTCTACCTAAGGCACAAATATGGTTTTTATACGTCGGTGTGACCCACAGAGTGCCCCATCAGAGGGAAGTATTTTCATCTCTCTGCAACTAATATTTTAGCTTTTATGAGAGATGAAACATTTCCGTTGATGTATGTATTTCTTTTAGAGCTCCCCAGACAGATCGGAGACCCCCTGGTGTCATGAAGCCAAAATGTCTGTGTTTCTCTTTTCAGCTTCAGGAAGGTGGCCAAGTCTGATTATGTATAGGTGACAAAATCTTATTAGCACTCAGGTGCCACTTCCAGCCTGAGGAAGCTGCTCTGTCTCTTTTCAGATGTTAATTGATGACCATCTTTATGAGTACCTATGACTGAATATTTCTTTTAATAACAAGGAATGAACTAGATTTACATTGTCATATTCTCTACAGGTCACATCTTATCTACTCAAATCTGTACATTCATGTCACATGTATGTCACAGAGTTCAACTTTAAATTATAACTAAAGGCAACATGTTTTCTTTCAGTTTCGGATGGAGTGGAGATGAATTAGAACACCAGTTGGTCTTTATGGATGTCTGTGCTGCTGTTAGGAAGATTTACCCTTTGTATTTGTCCTGTTTACCATTATCATTGAAAGTGAAAGTAAAAGAAACCCCACATTTGGAGTTGACCCCAGAAAAATAATAGAGGAGATATTTTACATTGGGGCACTAGTTCTGGAGACCTGGGGGTCCCCAATGAATTCACTTAATTTTCAGGGAAAGCGGAAGTTAAGTATTGCAGCTTCACAGCCAGTTTGCAATAGGAAACTGGCCTGGACCTGTGAAGTATTCCAGAAGGCTGCAGGAGAAGAAAGTGGGAAGAATGGCTTGCTCAGATCACTGCGGGTACCTGTTAAAACCAGGTACCTGCTCCCCCTCCCCCCCCTCCCGAAAAGTGCCAAATGCGGCAGTGGGGGGGGGGGGGAAGGCAAGCAAATGGAACATCCCCTTTTGGGTGAAGTTCTGCTTTAAGACAATCATTTCTTGAGTACATTTATTCACTACACTGGACCTGTGTATCTTCAGGCCAAACAATCTCAAAATGTGGGATTTTCCCAGCTGTTTGGTATTGTTCAGATCTGGAAAGAAAAAAAAAGCAACCGAATGCCTGTGCTCCTGCACTGGACTGTGGACTCCACAAATGTCAATATCCCCATATGAGTAAGAAAGAAATGCAAGCCTTGCTCTCCTCAACAGAATAGGGAAATCCAAAGAGAACTATATATAAGGATGCAATGAGGTCCAAAACCCCTGAAGGTGGTCTGGGGGGTACTGTAGACCTCTAGATAGCTGGTGACTGACGCGTTTCAAGGTTGTACCTCTTACTCAGAGCCAGTGTTTATGCAGCCTCTGCAGAGGTTTTGGACCGCATTGCATCCCTTGTGACATGCTTTCCATTTGATGTTATTTCTCTTGTGAGTATTTTACTTTTCATAAATAAATCTAATTTTTAAAGGTAATGCGCCCTCTTTTTGTTTCCTATATAGAGTTTTGTTATTATTCACCCTAACTAAAGTAAATCTGTCAAAATAAAATTCAAACTCTACATATGATTAAAAAATGAAAACAAACAGAACAGAAGAAAACAAACATAATGATTAAGAACAAAAAATGCACATAAAATCTGTTAGTACGTCCATAGCAGAGTTTATAGGCACAGGAATATAATTTACTTTTTTATATTTAAATAAAAAAAAAAGCTGAGCTTGGCCCTACTCCTCTTACCTCTCAATTACTTCAGTTGGTCAGCAAATGCTCATCACTAGGTCAATTAATCAAAATCGTTTGAGATTGGAGGGAGTGGAGCCAAGCTCAAGCTGAAGAAAAGTCAAGATATGCATATACATTCATCTGCTAGTTTTTGTCAATCTACTCATTTTAGCATGCAGCTATTACTCATGGAAACCTCTGCTTATGCATTTTTACTGTATATAGTCGGTTTGAATTGCCTGGGTTTGTGACAGGTTTATTTTAATACCAATGCTTGAGTTATCTCTACAGGGCAAAATATGTATGCTCAGCTGGTGTGATCATGCCTATTTACCTATATATGGGTGTGTAAGCAGTATGATCTGTGCTACTAACTGTGACAGAGTCTCCTAGTAATGATCTACCCAACTGCCTGTCACAGCATTTCTGTAGTCTGCAGTGGAGATCAGATGACGAGTAGGCTCAGGTCCAGTAGATTAACTTGCCCTATCAGTTCTGCTGCTGACTTGCAACACAGGCGGTGAGAAGAGTCTTGACAGACAGACGTGGGCACTGGATTTGGACATGGCATCAAAATCAGTGTGCTTTGTGCTTGTGACTGTGCTGCTAGCATACTACATTTATAAGCCTCTGCCAGACAATGTGGAAGAGAAATTCAAAGTGATGTTGTTAGATGCAACTTTTAGAACTCTAGGACATGCGGTAAGTCTAACCTTTTTGTATTATACGTATACTGTTCTCTGAAGTCCTGGCGTGCATTTCTAATGACTTAATCCTTTTATCGTTTTCAACAGCTTTTAAATACGCATTCAAGACAAACTGCACATGAGCAATGGAATTCTGTAATCAGGATTTAGAAAATCCTGCTGAATTGTAGTATGGATATGTGCTAGGGGATCTGTTTCTGAAGTCACTCCTGTAAAAAATGACTGTAGGATTTTTCTAACTAGACTTATGGCTGCACTTGCATGGAAGTTGAGTTTTGCTAATACTTATGGATCTTTAATTGGCTAATCATTACCAAATTTCCTTCAGCAATGAGACATATCTGAGTAGTGCTATTGGTAGTTTGGGAGTTAACTGTTCTATTATTTGTGAGTTCACCAGGGTGAGAAGCTTTGCTTCTTAGGTCAGTGTTCAATTGTTTATTGTTTCAGTGTTCCACATCTAATACCCTGCATAAACTCCTGGTATTATTTCGGAATAATAATTAACAGCAGCCAAGAGCAAATACAGCATCAGAGATCTTCCAGCATGCAGAGCTTTTAGGATCTATATAAGTCAGTGTATATAATTACAGATCAGGGGAAACAATCACATTGGTAATTTGTAGCTGACCTGTATGTAGACAATTTTACTGTATTATACCAAGTCTTAGGTTTAAATTGTGCGGAGTGAATCAGCATCCTAATGTACTTACTGTTAAATTAAAAAAAAAAAACATAACTACAATAACTTCTAACAGAACAACACACAAAGAAAACAAACGTGTACATCTTCACATACTGTATATGTGGTTGTGAAATTACCTTTTCTTCTGAACTCAGCAGTGATTGCTAAACTGACAGCAAAACTAGCTCAGCACTAGCTGCATCCCTGCACACATGTACTATGTGCTGTATGTAATTACCAAGCATTATTAGTATAATCTGCAAATGCTTCATGTCAGTTCCGTTTACAATTATTGCACTGAGGACGATAGGAAATATTTACTTATCTACAAAGTCTCTTTGGGGCTGATGTGAGCAAATACAAACATCCTTGTTACTTCTAGCAATCAGTTTAATTGCATTATTAATTTGAAAAGCTGGATTGCAGAAGCTGATTGATCACGGGCATGGATTTATATGTATTTTCTATAGCACAGTTTTCAGCCCTATCATTAAAGTGATAATAAACCCAGGACCCTGCATCCATTCTATCTGGGCTCCCACAGTACACACAACATGGAAATGCAATTATTTTAGTAAATATAAACTGCTAAATACCTTTTCTCATCAGCAGTTAAAGCAGTCTTGTGACTTCAGCAGAGCACTGTTAAAGCTTGTAGGAGGAGTTTTCTTTCTGCTCTAGGAGGATGTGAAACCTCTGACTCTGTCTGGACAGTGCTGATTGACCCTGTGCTGATAACATGCACCCTTCCAAGAAAAAAAAAAAACCTCCCCAGCAATATTATTATTATTATTATACAGGATTTGGGGCAGCACAGTGGCTAAATGGTTAGCACTTCAGCCTGGCAGTACTAGGGTTGTTGGTTCGAATCCCAGCCACGGCACCACCTGCCTGGAGTTTGCATTTTCTCCCTGTGCCTGCGTGGGTTTCCTCTGAGTACTCCGGTGTTCTCCCACACTCCAAAGACATGCTGGTAGGTTAATTGGACCCTGTCTAAATTGGCCCTAGTATGTATGAATGTAAGTTAGGTACCTTAGACTGTATACCCCTTGAGGGTTAGGGACTGATGTGAATGTACAATATATATATGTGTAAAGCACTGCGTAAATTGATGGCGCTATATAAGTACCTGTAATAAATAAATAAATGTATATAGCGCCAACAGTTTGCTCAGTGCTTTACAATATAACGGGAGACAATACAGACACAATACAGTTCAATACAAGAGGGATAGGAGGGCCCTGCTCCTTGGAGCTTACAATCTAGGAGATACACACCAAACTGAGCATGTACAGGTGACCATGGGTTCAGTCTGTATCAGGTGGTCATTTCAACAAGAAGAGGGGCAGAGAAGAAAGGATCAAACATCGTTTTTACACAATCTGGAGGATTAACTCCTTAGGTTCCACAGTGAATATAACAAGCTTGCTTTACTGCATATACAGACTGATTTTACTGTTACGGGTTTAGTAACATTTTAAGATCAGCACTGTGAATTTCTCTTTCAGTCACTTTATCAGTATTAGGGTCCCAAATACATGAAATGGGGTGCTTTCCTCATCCAGCCAGCCAGTTTCTGCCAGATTAGATGCCAATAGCATGTCCAAAGGTTGGCTGCAGAAAATCCCACCTAATGATCTCAGAGTTGAAAACCTGGTATTGTATCCTTTTTTTGCCCACCAAAATGAACTAGAAGTGTATTAAGCAACATTGTCCCCTTCTTTATTCATAGCCGCAATATTAATGTTTGTGCAAACTCAGATTTGCTGCTTAGGACAGAAACATTTATGAGCACAACTGTGAAATGATCATATCTTGCAATTCTAAAGCTGCTCAAATGTCTATGGCCAGCTTAAATTCAGGTACTTACTAGTCTAGACTAGTGATGGTCTACATGTTTGAGTCAAACGTTACTTGGACTATAATATGGGCTGTTTGTGTTTTCTGAGAATACACGAATGGTATGGGCGTTCGGCGGGCTGTTTGCCCGCCACATCCCACAATGCATTGCGCCTTGACAACGCATTGTGATTGGCCACAGGTCAAGTGCTATGCTTTGGCCAATCACAGGGCATGATGACATCACAAGGGGCATGGGTGATCCTGCCCCCTTGTGACATCATCATCCTATTTAAGAATTGCCATCCCGGAGCAGCTGTCAGATGGCGAGAGCCAGTGTCGAGGGCGGAGTGGGTTTTTTTTCTTTTTCGGGTCCTTTATTTTTCTTTAATAAAGAACTCGTCAAATACTTTCTCCTGTCTTTTTTTTTACACTACACATTTTTTTTTTGTGATAGGGTAGCGGTACCATGTACTGCATACTCATTCACATGGGGGGGCTGGGATCTGGGGGCCATCTTGTTAAAGGGGGCTTCCATATTCCAATAAGCCCCCCGCCTGCAGACCCCCACAACCACCAGTCAGGGTTGTGGGAAAGAGGCCCTTGTCCTCATCGGCATGGGAACACCGTCCCAATGCCGAGGGCAAGTGGCCTGGTAAGGACCAGGGAGGGGGGTGCTCATTCGTACCCCCCTTTCCTGGCCTGCCAGGCCTGTAATCGGATCAAGGGTCTGCTAGGAATTTAGGGGGGACCACATGGTTTTCCCCCATTTTTTGGGGGTTCCCCTTAAATGTCCTACGAGGCCTAAAGGGCCTGGTGTGGCTTTTAGGGGGAACCCCATGCATTTTAAAGAAAAAAAAATCTACTGTGGGGTCCCTCCTAACCTTCCTACCAGACCTAAAGGGTCTGGTGTAGATGGGGGGGGGGGGGCAACCTCACACTGTTGTTTTCTTTTTTGTGTTTTTTTAATAAAAATTTCATTTTTTTTTTAAATGGCAGTCCTGCTGCAGCAGGTTCTATAGATTGTACAGATGTGCAACTTTGCAGGTAGGTTAAGGTGACCCCCCCCCCCCCCCCCCCCAGGCATGATATTGAAAGGAATTTTTAATTATTATTTTTTTTAACTTTAAGCAATGAAAAATGACTGCCCCTTTAAAAAACGGTAGTTTTTGAAAAAAAATGTTTCCACTGTTTCATGTCCCTCAGGGCAGTACCCGAGTCCCCATACCCCTTTTATGGCCAATAACTTGCATATAAGCCTTCAAAATGGGAACTTTTGAATTTACAAATTCGAGTCCCATAGACTTGCAGTATGTTCGATTTTTGCGGTAGAACTTTTTTTTAGGTTCGAATGTTCTACCGCGAACTGAACGGGGGGGGGGGGGGTGTTCAGACCATCACTGGTCAAGACCTGGCCTTGAAGCCTGAAAACATTGGTTGATGTCAGAAGTACAGTTGAGGAGTGTTGTAACAATGTGTTGGCTACTAAGTGGCAATTGCCCCACCTACAAAAAACAGATTATTTTCACTCTTTACTGAAAACATATAGCTTTACAGAGTTAAATGAGGTAAAAAATTATAAACACTGTTACACATTGACCTTTGCTACCTTATCTCTTGCACAAATTTGGGCTTAAATTATTTAAGTGCCAAGGCTGCTTTGTATTCACGGTTTGGCTCTACCCCATCCTGATGCCCTGCACCTACATGAACCACAACCTCAAAATTTACTAACAAGTCTCTGTAGGTACTCAGACTTTTTCATACTTAAATGATAAGTATAGCTAAAGCAATTTTGGCTATAGGTCTCCTGTAGGTTCACAACAGTGCAGTTCCTTTTGCACATCTGTGACTTGTTTTCAACTGATAGCGGGCTAAAGACCACTTTTGCCTGACAGAACTCAGTTGGTTCAGGCTTTGAAAAGATCCGGACCATATGGTCGGAATCCAACCAGAAGCTTGGACTGGCACTTGGCTTGTGGTGATGGATCACTCAGTTTTCACTGCAGAGCCAGTGGGGGAAAGATGCAGTATCGTATCGATGTGCTAGCAAGTTTGTGGTTACTAGTCTTGCATCGCCTGTTGTTTTAGGCACTAAAATATCCGAGACTAAATAAACTGCATAGTAGTTTCTTTCAGTATGGTTTCCTCAAAACAACCTTGTCAGCCTTAACTGGAGAAATACAATACATAGCCTCTTCATATTGTGAGAAGGGTTGTGAAACGTATAGTGGTTACCGAACAGGTTTTCTTTTTGTATGGAATGAGGTTAGAGGTTGCAGGTTAGATCTTTTCACCAATACAAATATGTTTTATGAAGTTCTGTTTTAGCTCCAGGAAGGATTCCTTTGTAAGAGAATAGTTTGGGAGATTCTGCACAGAGGAAATCCGTACTCAGTAGACTGCACAGTTCACAGCAAACAGATTTTATGCTGAGTCTGGACTTTGCGACCTTTTATCTTAACTCGTAA